ACACAGGTGGGGGCGAAGCAGGGTCATACATTTGTTAAAAACCTAAACGAGAAAAAAAGACAATACAATGGACGCACGTCCGACATGCAGTTCATTCGCAGCTTTGGGAGTGGCCGGTTTTATAAAGTACGTACATTGGAAAATATTTTTTCGAAAGAAGTAAAACAACTTCACCAGTAAAAGACATGCAAAACTTACAGAGGATACTATCATCCAATGAACCAAACGTTTTGCGCGATTTCGGTTTCTTCTAGAAAAAATCTGTTGAACTGAGGAAGGCGGGCTTGCAAAATGAATAAGTTCATTATTATGCTTGTATTCTGAGTATAGTTCTTATATGTATGTTAATGCTGTGTTAATTTGGTGTTCGATCATATAATGTAACTTTGTTTGGATGCAAATGTAATAAAATTGTAAAGGTATGCATGGTTATTATGAATTTTCCAACCACGGAGTCCCAAAGCCCAGTAAAACCCATAGGGACCGCACTCTAACTGTACTTCAAGATAGTGACTGAGTCTATGGCCACAATCACACGAATTTGTTTCCTCTTTTCTTATCGTTTTTATGAAATATTCCATATAATATATATACACAAACATTTCGACATATTACATGTCGTCCACAACGTTAACAAAATATGCCGAACTTGTCCTATAGTCCCCAAGATCAATCGGACATCTTCGGGTCATTCCGGCATTTGCGAAAGTCCCTTTGCATTTTTGCTGAGCGATACAGTTTTTATCTTATATATGTAAATGAGAAACCCGAGGATTTGTGTTCTCGTTAATGACATTATGAGGACGTTGTCCTAAGATGATTGGGACATTCAAATGACACGTCAAAGGGTCATATTATACTAACAACGGTCTGACCCCTTACTACCGCACGTTTATTTCTGAGTGAAGCAGAGAATGTCTCGGTCAGTGTACAGAACCTTCAACTACATGCCTGGCTTGAGCGAATGCTCAGGACGAAAGCCAAAAGCCAAGGAGTTGCCATGTAAGGCAGTAGGAGACGAAAATGAGTTAAAAGATATGAGTTAAAAAAGTCAAAAAATTGCAATGGGGGTAGCCAGGGACAGTATACGTCCCTGGGGTAGCAGATTCTTTTCCTTACTTTCTTCTCTCCAAGTAGAAGGTACAACAGAAAATTCGCAATTTTGCTGGTTCATCAAAAGTTTCCTATCTATAAACCGCCTGAACATCATGACACCCATTCTGTAAGCGTAGCACGTATCCTTAACACAAATCGAACGTACAATAGATAAAGTAGCAGACATGTACATATCTTACACAAATCAGAGGTACACTGTGCAAGGGACATAACTTTTACACAAGCCATATGCATAATATAAGGCAATATAAGGTAGGCAGCAAGTGGCTCTAATATAATATGTAAGGGAGATAACTCTAATACCATTCGCAGGTATTATATCGACGACATATATTTCAGGTATAATGTGTAAAATAGAAGTTATACAGAAAAAAACCCACAGGTATAATGTGTAAAATAGAAGTTATACAGAAAAAAACCACAGGTATAATGTGTAAAATAGAAGTTATACAGAAAAAAACCTCCACAAGTATAATGTCTAAAATAGAAGTTATACAGAAAAATCCACAGATATAATGCGTAAAATAGAAGTTATACAGAAAAAACCCCACAGGTATAATGTGTAAAATAGAAGTTATACAGAAAAAAAACCAAAAATATAATGTGTTAAATAGAAGTTATACAGAAAAAAACCACAGGTATAATGTGTAAAATAGAAGTTATACAGAAAAACCCACAGATATAATGCGTAAAATAGAAGTTATACAGAAAAAACCCACAGGTATAATGTGTAAAATAGATGTTATACAGAAAAAACCCCACAAGTATAATGTGTAAAATAGAAGTTATACAGAAAAAAACCACTGGTATAATGTGTAAAATAGAAGTTATACAGAAAAAAACACAGGTATAATGAGTAAGGTAGCAAATAACTAGAAAGCACTGAATATGTGTAATTTTCTGTCATTTTCATTGATTGAACTTACCGAAGAAAAGAAAAGTGACGACTCATCCGGAACTCCCGCAGAATTCAGGCAATTACTACCACCCGACCTTTATGAAGGCTTTTGTAAATAGTGACTCATTTTTACCATGTTAAGTTAACTTATTCATACATCCTACATATAACATCTTCAACAATCAATAAAGAAACGTAAACGCTTATACTTACCATGCTATAGACAAATACACGAAGCCACATTATTTTAAGATATTTCAGAAATGTGAATAATATAAATATTATGTAACATTTGATATAGCGCCCTATGTAGCTAACATAAGCCACTCTAAAGCGCTTTACAGTACATAGATATACAATTAATACAAATAGCATACATCAATCAATACAATTTTTGAGGAATTCGCAGGAGCTGCCTTATCAGGCGCTAACTTCTAGTCCTATGTCATTAATCATTATGTATTTCGTTTCTTGTGATAGACTAAGTGGTATAAGAAAGACAACTAGCAAAGCTACCAAGACCATGTTCATGATATGATATTAAATTCAACTAACTGGATATTTTGTCATGGTTTAACATCCTCACTCCGACTGAAGTTGCTTTTTTGTTTATTTTCTTGCTCGAGAGTTAACGTCCTCGAAGCAGCTAAGGTCTTATATTCACCACTGTATGGCATTTCCATTATATAACTCTACCAGGTTCAGATGGTATTCATATAGGCTATGAATGCCAACTGAGAGCAGATCAATGCTTAAAAAAGACAGGTGCTTAGGGAGCCACTTTCGAAAAGCTACAACTTAATGGATGAACATAATTAAAATATAACAACAATCACAAAGAAACGGTCAGCAGCACGGTCAAAAATTACCCCCCCCCCCCCCCCCCCACACACACACACATCAATGAAACCATAAACGCAACTGCACGAGTATCGCTATGCTTCTTCCACCTTGAGTATCGTAAGAAACAAACAGTTTTGCGACATCAGTCTGTTCAATAAATATCGTTTGCATTGAAGCACACTGACACTTTAATACTTTATTAATAAAAACAAATTATTATAGTAAATATAATACATAAAAGTAATAAAATAGCGTGTTGTCGACGTCGCGCGCTCGAGTTTCCCCAGTCATTATTCGGGCCTCTCTAAATAAATTGGCAAGAACCATCGCAACCGAGCTCCGAGTGACAGAAACAGTCAACCTGATCATCATTATTCCTGGTTTTTATTTCATTTAGGAGAAACAAAGACCCATGTTTCTCTTCCTCAAGGGAAACGGGTGGGGAACAGACTGTATACTGTACGGAGATTTTTTAACGCTCATATCAGTATTAACACGAATCCGGTTACATTTTTAGTTGAATGCTAAAAACATCCTATTGGTTTTTGTTATTTTCACATTTAACGTGTAATCCTATGGGCTTCGTGTAATGTCGATGTACCCCATAGCGTTCATAGGATGAATGCGTTCATTCCCAATACGGACCGTGGTATATAGTAACACAGACTATGTACTTCGTGGTGTATTTTTATCAGTTATTTATGGGGATATATATCTCCTGCGCCACAACTAACTAAATAACGTAATAAGACTATTTAGGACATTGTGTAACGACTAGATTAATACCTACCTCGTGGTAATAATTAAAACCTACTTGTGGTGATTAATTATTATTATCCTTGTTGTGCATTTATGTTTGCCACAATATAGCTCTATAAATCCAATGTAGCTTGTTATATGCGACTCTAGATAATCGTGTACATGTCAAATCGACGGCGATTTGAAACATGCATTAAAAATAAACACATTGTCTATAACGACGAAATTAGGTTAATACTGTGCGTGTATATACACTGTAAAATAAAATACACGATTTTATCATCCGTATCAGTAATAGCTGTTTATAATATATAGACCGCACACACAACACACAATAGTTTAATCTCCTACTAATGTCGATAAATACGATTTAAATACAGCTTATCAACTGGGTACCGCCAGTGGAATTTCATTAGTTATTAACGGGTTATACCCAACAATGGTATTGTAAGTTATCAACAGCATCAAACCACAGACCTACAATGTGATATATATATATATATCGTATGTAAATATCAAATTTTGTTCATATCTATAAGTCAGTCTCAGCACGGAATTAGCATAGAGGGAGCTATCTAAGTCCGTGGTAAATATATACATATCTGGCCCTCCGTAAATTGTTGTGGTAAAACCATTGATTATTATTTTTTATTGCCCATAGTAGGTCACCATGTGACTTGGTTTTAAAATACATATATGCACAATTTTTAGTTCAAAATTGACAGCAAAATAATTAATAAACAGAATAAATATAAATAAGATCCACTGAAAAAAATATCACTGGTAATTTTAATACGGTTAAACATTTATTGATGCATCATAAAATACGTGTACATGTAAAATCATTTCAACCTTACGATTTGCATACTTAGTTATGGCACGGAATTAGATTAGATCCTTGGTTATGGAAAATATTCAAAATATGTATAGATAAAAGTAAAAGTGAGCACAGAGACTGACGTATAATAATACATTATACGTCTCTGATGAGCATACCTGTCCCTTCATCGTCTCTGTAAACAAATAAATATTTGTTCTTCTTCTTGGTCACCTAGAACCTGCCCCTTCCAGACAAACAATGTAAAGATATCATATCCCTTTTAAGATAATGAAAACCCTTTTGTGCATATATTATTATAAATAAAAGGTAAGAATATTATAATATTAAATAAAACAACATTGGCACTCCTCAAAATAAACTTAGAATTATACATTCTCTTTCAAAGAACGCATTATAACTTAATTTAACGTGAAATGAAGTAACGGTGTTCTTAATAAGCCTAAATGATAAAGACTAATTAAGTATTAGTGACCTAGATAACGACCTTTCCATTCATTCACATTCGAGTTCGCATTTTTGGTGACGTAATGCGCAAATGGCTGTGCGCAACAGATACTACCGAAAATGGAGTGTATTCATAGAACGGTTAGCAACTGTCAGCATGATCTTTCACTAGCAACACGATGGACTTAGTAGGATACGTGAGTTACATTTAGAGAGATAAAGAAAGAAAAGGCATGGCTTCACGGAGACACAGAGAAGATTTCGATGGCAAAATCGCAGGCTTGTATGACATGGAGGATACGATCGGCCGAGGCCATTTTGCCGTAGTCAAACTTGCAAGACATGTTTTCACCGGCGAGAAAGTAGCGGTAAAAGTCATCGATAAAACAAAATTAGACGATGTTTCAAAAGCTCATCTATTCCAAGAAGTAAGGTGTATGAAATTGGTTCAACATCCAAACGTGGTTCGGCTTTATGAGGTGATCGATACACAAACAAAACTGTACTTAATTCTTGAGTTGGGAGATGGTGGAGATATGTATGACTACATTATGAAACATAAGAAAGGGCTTGAGGAAACTGTTGCTAGACGATATTTTAAACAAATTGTTGAAGCTGTATCTTATTGTCATGACTTACATGTTGTACACAGAGATCTGAAACCAGAAAACGTTGTATTTTTCGAAAAATTAGGAATAGTGAAGGTGACCGATTTCGGTTTCAGTAATCAGTTTAAACCTGGCTCAAATCTAGAGACATCGTGTGGTTCTCTGGCATATTCTGCACCAGAAATTCTTCTAGGAGATTCTTACGATGCACCAGCTGTTGGTAAGTTATCGTTACGTGTCTAGAAATGTGTAAAATATGTTTATTATTGAATGTTTATTATACCGGAAGTGTAAAGAATGCACTTCCTGTTGTTTATAAACATCAATAAACTGAGCTTGAAAAACACCTGTTCGATATGTTCTCAATGTTCTCACAAACATCTAAACATGTACTGAGGTGTAAAGAAATATATTAATTCTGTGACGTGAAAATGATCCGATGGCAGTCAGATAGGTTTAAAATAAGACATTGTGCATGCATGACTTCCCAGTATTTGTAAACCCCTCTACTAGACTATTTTATATGCAGTATGCTGATTGCTGTGTTGAGAACTTTAGACAAATAAGTATAGTGTGCTAGTATTATCATGGTACTGCAGATGTTGTTAGGTGTTGGTATATTTTAATGTTTGATATCATTATTTGTTTGCAAGTATGTAGATTACCAAATGTATGATGATGTATCTATGTAAATCTTGTCGATGTGGCAGAACTGGACCAGGAAGATCAGTTGGTTAGAATTGTGATGTCTTTCTAGAGTTTGGAGATCCAGGGTTTAAATGCTGGTTTGGCAGTAGCAGTTTTACATTACATGTATGTCATCGGGATAGATCCTTGAATTTGAAAGCAGTGTGACATTTTCAGCAATTTTTAATCAAAATTTAGAGGGGCCATTCTATGTAAAATTAAAAGAAAATTGGAACATGGCGGGTGAATTTCAGTTTGAGGGGTCATTGGCTCCATGGACCCTCCAGGATTATCCCTGCGTATGGCCCCCAACTTAGCATACGCTCTACAGATGGTGGTATAGGGTAGGGACATCTTGATTACTGATTCTTAATAGATCAGTTTAATTTGAAACAATTGTACTTCAAACAATGGCATATAAGCCTACCTGGTACTTGATTTTTGCATGTCACAAATAGTTACAAATACGTCAACTAATTAGAGATGACTGTTATTACTTGAAAAATCAAATATTCTGGGGTTTTTTGGAAGTATTAATTTTGTCTAATTTTGTAATCTTAGTGTTTAGTAGGTTAGATTATTAGGTTTCTAAATAAATCTGAAATGCAGTGAGCATTACATCCAATGCACTATGCAATCACTAATCAGCATACCTGCCAACCCCGGACATATTAAAAGAGGGTGATGACCCTCTTTTGGAAATTAAAAAGAGGGTCATAGTGCGCGACAGCTTTTTTCGCAACAAATATAAGAAAAAGAGATATTAAATTAGAACTTAATATTTTAATGATGTTAAGTTACATTCTACATTCATTGAACTGTTCCTCCAGCAGATCTAGCTAATCCTCATGCACAGTACCAAATTCAAAGCTGAAAAATAAAAAGGTTTGTCAACAACACAACTTATGAAATTAATTCATAATAATATATATGATACTGTGTTTCCACAGGCATTTTTTATGTCAATTAAAATGGTCCTGACAATAACATGTCACATTCTGCTCATATAAAATACCATTTTGTTTCTGTCAATGAAAATGGTCCTGACAATAAGAAGTTGTACCCTACTCATATAAAATATCCAGTTTTATACGAGTGGGGTTTGAACTCTTATTGTTAGGATAATTTTGATTGACAAAAACAAATCATCAAATGCCTGTGCGTGTTTTTGAATGTCTTAGTAACGTCGTTTTAAGCACCAGATCAAACTGAAATATGCGATTTACAAAGACTAGAGTGCAGAATGCAGCGTTTGGTCCACAACCGCAGGGCTTTATACACTAAAACTCATTTTCCTACGATATGTGAACAATTATCTTTTCTTTAAGCATTACGTGTATACTATAGTCAGAGACGTATATGCAAGTCCCGAGCCGCAAGTCCCGATAATGACTTCTTTCTTCAAGAAGACATAATGTTACCTTCAAAATACGATCTTCTACGTAAATACAATTGTAAAAACAACTATATTATTTGTTAAAACACCTGACTAATGAGTTGCCAGCAAGTTCACTAACAACGGTATTTGTATAAACATTTGGAAAAACCGTTCTAGTACGTATATAAACAACTCGCAACTTACCTGTTGGTGAGAAACGAAAACAAAAAATAGATCGTCTTTCTTATGAAGAAGGATGGACAAGTCTAGAGAATTCCGAGTGACTTCGGTAACTTCTAATATACGAAAAGATTCCGGGTGAAAACGGGTGAAATTGACGAAATCCGGGTCAAAATCGTAACCCGGCGGGTGAAGTTATAAAAGCGGGTGAAAGGCTAAAATCCCGGGTGTAACCCGAAGGAAATCGGGTCACTTGGCAGGTATGAATCAGTTTGAAAATCTATGAATATCATTTACAGTTTACACTGTAGTGGAACTAGACTGGGTAGATTGTCTGCAACCAGGTAGATCAATTAGTAGAGCATCCGTCTAGAGTTCGGAGGGCCAGGGTTTCTAACCCTGGTCTGGTCGTGCAATTTTCCTTTCCTGTTACAATGGTGCCTGTGACCAACCCTTTTTTCAAGCATTGGATGTACGCTTGGCGATGTGGAGACCCGAACCTGGGTTGTATTCTGTAAATGCGGTGATGTCTTCAGGGACGAAGACTTAGAAAAAGGAGGAATGTAGCGGAACTAGACTGGGTTGATAGTTAGCAACCAGGTAGCTCAAAAAAGCGACTGTCTAGATTTCGGAGGGTCTCTGGTTCGAACCCCAGTCCGACCGTGCATTTTCCCTCTTCTGTTACAACATTTCTATGATCATTCATGTGTAATAGCTATAGGTGAAAGATAAATGCAATGACCAAACCAGGGTTCTAACCCAGGACCCTCCAAACTCTAAACTTTTCAACTTCCATGTTTTCTTCTGATTCAATTATAAATATCGCTTGGTATTTCTATTTTAAATTTGCTTAGTAATGGTGAGAAATGGTGAGTAGATCAAAATAGTGGACAATATATATATATATGAGTAGATGAGAGTGGTACATGATGATGATAATGATGATTATAGCTAAGATTTGAAAATCCAGAATAACAAAACCTGCCTAGCTTTAATTATATATCAAACCTTTGACGTTTGCAACAAAAGTAAAAAAAACCCATTAATTCTGTAATAAATAGATTATGATGCTATTGTGCTTATCATATTAATTCCAAGGAGAATGTCTTCATGCTTTGAATATTTAACAAAAACCAAATTAGAAATAAAACCATAATTAAAAAATACATCCCACATTTTTCATGGCCTAAGAATTCAAATTTGAAACTAAAAGGTTGATTTTATAAGCCTGAAGACAAGAGATAGTAAATCTTAATGATTTGGTTTGTGAAAATGTAAAATATTCACTATAAAAATATAGATCAGGTTCCAGCTTGTATTTTTTTCTAAATCTGCCTATGGGCTAGTACACAATATATATGGAAAAGTTGGGCAAGGCTAGCTAGGTTATCCTGTACGTTTTAGGGTAAATGGAGCCTCACTCAGTGCCAGTGCTAGGCCAATAAGGTATTTGTATGATATACATGTATAGATTATTATCATGTATTATGTATACAGGCATTACCATTGTTCACATGTTCAAGACATTGCTGCTAGTACTTGTATATTTATTGCTTTGGAAAGGAATTCAACAGAACTGCCACTTTAATATTCAGATACATGTGTGGAACGTAGGAATTAAAACTACCTGCTCTTGTAGGCGGTTGATTGTAATTTCCGGAGGACTGCACTTGAAAAAAATTTCCTGTCAACTAGACATGTTAAGAAATAGACATGTATACATTTCTTGTCATTTGTCTACTCTTCTTGAGATTTATTTGTAGAATAAATTATGATATTGCAAATTGTATGACAATTATGCAAGATCAAGATTGTGGTGGTGGTGGTTGTGGCTTTGGGGTGTGAGTTATACAATGTACCTGAACATTCTCAGCATCCCACATGCACATTCACCTGGAACTCCCTCAGTGAATTCTGCAAATAATTGGTATTACAAAAATGTACATGAATACATCTGTACTGGGGGATGGACAGGCACTTGGAATATGTTAGCATATAGAAATAAAAGTCAGAGTATGTATAAAATATACAAGAAATACAATCTGTTATAAGATTATTTGGATAAATTAACTGGATATCTGTACCCTTGACATATATGTGGTAGTATAAATCAAACCATTAATACGTAAACACTATTCACACCTGTATAAGACGCCACCATCAGGAAGTCAGAAAAGTGGCTTCTTTTAGACTTTGACACAGATAATCTCTTAGAACAGAATGTGGAGTATTAAAAGTGGTCTCTTATATACACCACAGGTGTACATTAGTTTACAACCTGATTGATTTATAGAGATGTCTTGTGAGTACTGTCCCTATTTACAAGCTCTAGGTCTGTGTATCGATGTCCTGGCTAAAGTATGTACGTATGGATCCCTGTACCACTGCCAAAAGCTGTACCTATAACTTTGCATTGAAAACCGATTTTTCTTGGCGTTTTTTGTGGCGTGACTATAGCGATAGCTTTGATAAATAATTTCTGAAAAGAAAACCATACATTATATGCGATTTAGTAGAAAATCAGTGCTGCGGGGCTAGACCAGGATTGTAAACTCTGAACCACAAGTTGTATACTAGTGTATACCTACTACCCAGTCAACTAGAAGTGTATTGGTCAAATTGTGATACAGATTTATCCCAAATGAAATTAAGGCTACACTGTATGTAACTATCTATGTATATTGGTAAACCACAGCGGAACTCTCTAGTGTTTTGTCTGCATTGGGACAGGTAATTACTGTATATTTGTTAGGGCTTGTATTAAAATATTTTAATTAACCAAGAACATTACATGTACATTCACAATTCTCGTCACAAGGCCTACAAATTACAATAACATATTTTTAACTCGCATACACACTAACTGTTTTTCACTCTACAATTACATGGAGAAAATTTGTAAGAACAATAATTTATTTTATGCACATCCCATGATGAGCTGTGCACTGTCTGTTAGAAATGATGATAAATTGTGG